ATTTTAACTTGTGTTCTTTTCTTATATTTATATCCTCTAATCACAATTTCCAGCACAAAATAAACTCTCACCGTCAAAAGAATTTAAACTTTCATCAAAAAAGAAAATCTGCAGTGACCAATTCATCTTTTGGCAATTAATCTCTCTCTAATTATGTCTCTCTACATTTATTCCTCTACAATCCCTTGACATAAGGAGCCTTAGTCACCATATTTGCTGCGCTTCTCTACTTTGCTCCATAGTGCAGAAATATATTCAAACAAATTTGGAGAAGAAAAAGCAACGTCTTATGGGAAAAAGTATTATCCACTGGAAAAACAAAGAGGCTGATTAAAAGGTTTCAATGTGAAACTTTATTGAAATCTCACAGAGATATCTAAAAAATACAACAGTATTCCATTCAACAAGTAACAAATGGCAGATAAGCAAAAGCAAAACCATGAATGCAATGACTTTTTTATCCTCCATGACACACTGTGGAAAGTCAATAAAAAAAGAAGGCAATGTGCCACTAATCTTGTCTGTAAATATTTCACTTGGATCAGTGCATAAAAACACAAATGCTGAATGTGAGACATTTTAATACATTCAATAGCAGCTCAGCAGAAAGTGTTTGAAAACTGGTACGGAACAAGTCAGTAACAAGGCTGCAAAGGAAAAGAGCATCTTAAAAGAGGCAAAATGTCTCAGAAGTTAAAAAAAAAGGCATATGTTCTGCATATTTTCTGCAAAAAGCTGCATCTACACATTGTGAGTCAATGTACAAAGACATAAGTAAAATGACATCAACGGAAAATTGCAAAGCCTTTGAATATACCATCAACTACATTATGCAGCATCATGAAAAAAGATTCAGATAATCTAGGGAAATATTTGTGCATTGAGAGTTGTAAGTCAAAGATCCTGAAATTTCGTTATCTTCTCTAAGCGAAAGCTCATTTCAAATGAACTGAGACAAAGTCATGATTGTTCAGTGATTATATGAACTGCAATGTGAAATTAAGTTTGTAAATCAAGGACATTGCCTCATTCAGGTTAACAGGCAGTGGGGCCATCTGGCTTGTTATCAGTTATGAATGCTGGAAAGGATACATAGGTTTTCACTCACCGAAAACATTTAATGCATTTTGGAGTTGAATGCTGAGCTGGTAGGAACATTTATCAGAGAAAAGTAGGGAGGTCCTCTTCTGAAGGTCTGGTAACATGACCCTGTCCCAAATGTTATTTGTTATGTTACTGTAATTCATGATCAGCCACATTTTTTCATGAAGTGTCTCATCTTTACATCGAATATGTCTCTCTTATTCTACCTGTTTTACATTACATTCATTATTACATTCTGTTTAACATTTCTGAACATAAAAATAAAAAATAATTCCACGTTATTTTTTATAACTTCATCATTTAAAAGAGTATGGCCCTGTGGATTAGCACGTGGGGAAAAATTATTTTACACTCCTTAAAGCATCTGATTTTCCTGATTAGGATCAAAACTGTATGTGTCACAGTTTCATCTAAACTATGACAAATCAAAATCATTCCGCATCATAATGATGGCAATAGAACTAAAAATTACTTCTGCATGTCTATGTACAGTGTCATATAGGGATCAAGTAATATGAAATGAAAGTTATGACAAATACTTTTTTCATTCATGTCACATTTTCATTTGTTGCTTTTTTCCAGTAAGTATAGTATGAAATTTAAATCTTCCTCAAAAACACAATCTCCTCCAGGAATATTTGCATCTGAAATTGAAGATTAACATTTGTGTTTTGGTGGTTAAAAAAAGCACACCAATCGGCCATAAATAAAACAGCCCTGGCCCAGAGATGGACAGAACAAAACACTCTCTGTCGGTCTGTTGTTGTCACTGGTACCAAGCACAGATTTTTAATTACTAGGTGGAGAGTTACTGATTGGATTTATATATCTGGATTTATATGCTATATCGAATTGTTCTTTGGAGAAGCTGGACGCCAAGTCAGCACCTCAAACTTACTGCGTTCCTAAAACAATTCCTCAAGTATCTCTGCAGGGTGGCAAGTTTGCTGATCCATTTCTCTTGGAGTTGAGCACTAACTCTATAAGCATGTTGATCCACGGTGTCTCTTGGAGTCTTGTCTTCCCATTCTGTTATTTCTCCTCTTTCAGACCGCATTAGGAGGTCCAGACAATTGCACACAGTCCAACAAGAGCTGTAGTTGTGGACAAATGTCGCACTTACTGTCTGGTGAAAGGACATGCTTGTTTTTTTAAACAACAATATGTTTGAATATTGTTAAGTCATAATATCTTAATTTATGACTGGGCGGTGATGTCTCTTATCCTGTATTTACCCCAAAATAGAGGGATTGCATTACAGCTGATTTCTAACCAAATCACTAAGATTACAAATTAGCAAGGAAATGTAAGATATACTGTCAACACTGTATCTTACACGGTGTTGCCGTACAGCCACAGTCATTTAGTTTGAAACTGATTTGGACAGAGCCACTCATGAGCCACTCATGAGTTTGGACACACTCACCTTTTCATTGAATTAATGAGGCAAAGCAACATTAAACTTTTTAAGCATAAACTTACAACATTTCTTAAGCATCTAAAGGTCAGTCTTCTATTGCATAACATTAAAATAATATCAGCCGTTTCTGCTGCTGAAAACCGCCTTTTTCCACTCCATGACATTCCTGGGCTGCTTAGTGATTACCTATTGTAATATGAAACGCACATCAAACGCTTTGAAGGTAAGCTTCTACTTAATATTCAGCTTTTTCTGTGTTGAACATTATCGTTAAAGGCAGAAAATCACAAAAGCTTTTTTACAATAATGATGCTCCACTCAAGTGTGCACAACCAGTGTAAATTAAGCAGCACACTTAACATCTTCAGTAAAGACCTTTCAGCACCAATACTTTTGGATTTTTATATTTAATCTTCAATAATATTGATCTATAATCAAATACATTTGGAACCCCACCACATACAAAATCCAAACTTCCCAAATTTTTCTCTGTCATTAGTCAAGGCGCTTTCAAATAAACGGCAAAAAACGGAAAGCCGAGCAACCTGACCCGCTTCCGGGCCTAATCGCTGGACCCCAAAATGTACGAGATACCTCATTCGAACATTGAACGCGTCACGAAAGACGGGCCTCCGCCATATTGGAGCCACGAGGCCTGATCTCACACCGTTTGCCCGCAAACGCTGTTGGCGTTTTAGCGAAAATCAGAAAATCCTCATATAGCCCACACACCTGAGTGGACAGCCCCATGAATCCCGGCTGAAATTACATTAAAAGTTATACAGAAACATTCATCACCAATGTTGACTAATCAGTTATGAGTCCCAAGGCTTTAAAAGTCAGACAGAAACAGAGCTGTCTATCCTTATCCACATAGCGCCCCCCATCACCACTCAAATCAATCTCTCCCTCAGCCGTTTTGACCAGCAGACATCAGAGGAAAACTCCAAAATGCCTTGTGAATTTTAAAACTTCTTTTTTTCTCATGGACCCTGGTGTCCCTCTGTCCAAAGGACACAACATGGCCAGGTTTGAATGACTATATTACCAGGAAGCCATTGCTCAATTCAAAACTTTTTTTTTTTTTGCTAAGCTGCATTCTCCCCCTGTCCAATCCAAACAAGATCTACTGCGTCTCCCCTTATTGGCAGACCTAGGCTTGTCATACATTGTTGTATAAGTCTGTTTCTCAGTTTTCAGCCAATGTGACCCCTGACCTGCTCACCCCAAGTGCAGCGAGCTCCAGAGCTTAGCCAGGTCCCTCCAGCTCTGTGTCTCCCAAAGGCAGTGCTCTGTTTTTCTCCTTCAGGCTCCCAAATAGGTACAAACCCACATTTTAAAGAGCCCAAATGTCAGTCCTGTGACCTATCCAGAGGCTCCCAGGCTGCATTTGAGGGCCCAGCCCAACGGGCAGGCATTTGCCCTCTTCAAAATTTCTTTAGAAATGTTCTAGCTAGAGTTACTGTGGACTGGGTGTGTCCATGGCTTGCTGTATTCTTGAGACCACATCAAATGCAATGCTAGCTGCATCAACATAACCCACCTGAATTGTGGAACAGCTGTTTAGCTTTTGAGGAACATTCTAATTGCTGTAGCTGCAAGATTAGTGGATCTAAAAAGACAACACCCATTTTGTGCTGCATGAATTACCCAACACTGTTAAACATAACCACACAGAGCGAAGATGAACAATAACAAATGTTGGGATTTAACAGACTGCAAAATAACATTTTTTTGACAAAAACAGATGCATAGAGATGAATATGCAACAGTTTCTGACCAGAACCACTGTCAAATGCCTGTTTGACGGCCTATCAACCAGAAGGTTAGGTTACAGTTTGTAGTTGGCCTGTCAGAAGATCCTCACATTAGCATTCACATTGACAGATTCTCTCTCAGTACATGACATTTTGGGAAATTTTAGATAGCTATATTATCAGTGAATGCTCATGATCTCAGGGTACAGATAGAATACATGGATTTGGTCAGAAAGCAAAATGACCTTTCGTAAAACATCAGATTATTCCTCTGAACATCTGATGGATCATTAAATAGTGTTTGTAAACAGGTATCAAAAAACAAAACTTCACGAGGAGACACAATTAAAGAGACTTATCTTTTTGTTATTCTACAAAAGCCGCATAGTCTGCTTGTATTGGAAAATTGAGGTAAAACTTGTGGAGATTCAGAGGTGAAGGGCAAACAGACTCACATGTTCTACTAATGCATTGGCAGTAGATAGGGGTAACTCCACAAACAAAATAAAAAAGAAGATACTTCTGTGCTGTCAGTTGGCATAAAATAAAAAATACCCTTTGTTTGTAAAGCAGTGGGTGAGAGACATTATATTTGCTAATGCTTAATTCACAAATCTTACATGAAGGACAACATTCATATCATTAATTTGAATGACTATGAATATGAATCCAACAGATTTACAAAATATGAAAACTAAATATAAAAAACAAGCAAATCTTCATTGAAACTTCGCACACACATCCTTCTGAGTTAAGACCTAGGAAGAAGAAGAAAAAAATAGATGTTAGCCACAAATGTATCTCCACATAAACCTGATATGTACAGCTCTGTCACACTAAATCAAAATCAGTTGAGAAGAATTTATCAGAAATATCATAGCTCTGTGCGGCGATAAATTGCTCAAAATGTCAAAAAGACTGGCTAATTACCACAGAGTAAGGTTTAGTGACATCACTGTATTGCCAGAAAGCCATCAAGGATGGACTATTTTCAATAACTACAATGGTTCAAGTGCAATTAATATTCAGGAGCTATGAATCTCTGAATTTCTGCCATGAATTGTTCATTTTCATAAACCATTGTCAAGGGTTGACAATGGTTGACAATGGACAACACATTTTAAGATGAAAAATCAAAGTACAGAACAGAAGCCCTTAAAAAGAGCACTGTCATCGTCAACAAATATAACTTCCAAGGGCAAATTTTGGAAAATCATTCATTAGGTCTTAAATCTTTCAGATCTGTTCGCATTGGCGTTATTGCTAACTTTCTATATGTCTTAATGTTAAGCTTTTTGCTAAGCAAAGCTTACTGTGGCCCATACTGTATTACTCCCACGACTTAAGTATCTCTTTTCTCATGGTTTAAAGTAGATTCAACAAACAATGCTCTGGAAAAAAAACATTGTCTAAATTTATTTTATGCTTTGTAAATAGCAGCAATCAATTAGCTGCTCCAACAACAACAACATTAATAAAACCAGAAAAAGGGTACATTAAGTGGGCATGTTAATGGAAATACTGTAGGTCCTTAAGATAACAGAAGGAGCCACATTACAGTTAGTGTACTAACAATGTGCAAACCCAGAAAAAAGGTTTATCTTTTGATAGCTATCCACTGCTTCTAAGTAGGATATCTGTGTCCACATTTTCAACTTTGTGTCTCCTCTCTTAAGGACACTAATTGAAAATGCAAATGGAGTTATTTTCATAGATGCAAAAAAGCTCAAAGACTAGAATACAGGGTTTCCTAAAAAAAACTGAAGCACATGTGGAGAGAAAAGATTAGCTATTATATGTTCTTGTTGCAAGAATGCTGATTCAGCATCCTCATTAGTAATAGTGTTCTTATGGAAATTAAGTGAAACTGAGGGTTCAATAACTTACGTAGGAGGAAAAAAGTTAATCTTCACAAATTCAAGCTATAGGACTCAATAAATGATTTTCATGCTTACCACCAATTATTTTTATCAAAATTATAGTTTTGCTGAAAAATTGTTACCAGAACCGTGTTTTGTTTCTTTGTAACCACATGCCAGTTTGTTTTTGGATTGCTGTTTTTAACTGATTTTGCGGATGTCACAAAAGATAACTCAGGGACTTTTTCATAAACTGTGTACCACTTATATAGTAATAGTATTATTATAGTAGTATATTAAATCCTACATTTGGCTATCATTTGATGCAATCTGGCTTTGATATTTGAATTTCTGTTCATTAAAATAATTGCTTTCATTATTATCATTCAAACCACTTTTTATCTGATAGACTACCATATAACAGGGCTGTGAAAGGGAAAGTCATAACTTAAGCAACTCATTTTAATTAAAAATTTACAACATGTAAGTGTGTCAGAGCATAAGTTTTAAGGGATAAATCAGAGTAGATTACACAGTGATACAGCAAAGAGTGATCTAGAACATTTAAGAATCAACATCGTAACAAAAAATAAACTAGCCGGTAAATAAACAAATAAATCAATAATGTAAGAATTTGTGCTTGGATGTGTTTATGCAAAATAAATGTAAAAGAAGAAGAGGTAAAATTTCTGTGTTTACTATCCCGCTTAGTACAGCTTTATCATACTGCTTGCGAAAAAGATTATGATGACACTGAATTAGAGACACTAGCCCTTACCGCACACAGATTTACACTACTGATTTACACAAATGTTTATGTAGCTGTCAAAGCTCATTGCCTTTTCAACTAATTGGAACTTAACAGTTTTGGCCCATGAACAGAAACGGGATGTTTGAACATAACTAAAGAATTGCATCTTTGTTTCAAATTTCCAACCTCTTTTGCATCATTGTTCAAATGTCAGTTTTTGCCAGGACTCTCACTTGAGAAACTTTGTGCCTGGTTTTACTATGAAGAACAGTGAGCTGCTTATCCATCCATCCATTCCTTATCGTAACCTTGTATTCCCTAATGGGGTTGCGGGGGGAGTGGAGCCTATGGAGCTGCTTATATCAATGTATAAATTCAAATTAGTAAATGTAAATTATATATATAAATTATTATATGTATACATCCTATACATTATTATTATTATTAGTATTATGCAAAGTATCAGTGCTTCCATTACGTTTTTTTTCCCTTTAATAATCTGTATGCTGCAAAGTTTTTGAAACTTACTGGACATCTTTGGAATGCGAATGGGACTACTGCTGGTGCCATCACCCCCTTCAGTCAGGGGTTTGATCTCAATTACGTAGCCCTCTCCTGAAGGGATTTTCAGTTCCACATTGGTTTTATTGGTTTCAAGTACAGTTGTCCGTCCATACCAGTCCTGGCGATAAGCAACCTTGAGGAGGGGACAGATCCTCAGTTAGAATCTAAACCTTCAGCTGTAATATATTAAAACATTTCATCACTGTGGTCAGACGCATGTCCACACAGCAATGCAATTTGAGTGAAAAACAAAGAACACAGAAATGTTGATGTGAAGATCTGAATGCAGCCAAAATGTGGCTCTTCAGCCCTTGTCTCGAAGAGTTCAATGATTTTCTAAAATGTTAGCACACAGATACACTCACTGGCCCCTTTATGAGGTACAACAGCTCAATTGCTGTTAGCACAAATATATAACAGCCAATCACAATGCCGCAAATCAATGCATTTAGGCATGTAGAGGTGGTTAAGAAAACTTGCTAACCAACCATCAGAATGGGGAAGAATGCTGGTCAACGGGAAAGAGTGCTGGTCACCATCAGGCTTACAGAGAATGGATTAAGAAAAAATATCTAGTGTGCAGCATTCGTGTGGAAGGAAATTTCTTACTGATGTGAGAGGTCAGAGGAAAATGGGCAGACTTGTTCAATATGATAGAAAGGCAAAGGTAACTCAAAACACCAGTTGTTACAACCAAGGTATGCAGAACACCATCTCTGAACACACAACCACCCTGAGTGCTGCTACTGTCAGCGAAGAACAATAAAAACTGAGTCTACAATTTGTACAGGCCAAAACGGGACAATGGAAGATTGGAAAAACATTGCCTGGTCTGATTAGTCTCGATTTCAGCTGCCACATTTAGATGGCAGGGTCAGAAGTTGTCATAACAACAAGAGAGCATGGATCCCTCTTAGCTTGTGTCACTGGTTCAGGCTGGTGGTGGTAATGTAATGGTGTGGGGGATATTTTCTGTGCACAAGTTGGTCCACTTGGTACCAAGTGAGCATTGTTAAAACACTGCAGCCTACCTGTTTTTTAATGCTGACCATCTCCATCTCTTTATGACCACTGTGTACTATCCTGTGATGGCTACTTCCAAGATATTTTCCCATGTCACAAAGCCCATATCATTTCAGTGGTTTCTGAAACAGGGCAATTAGTTCACTGTACTTCAATAGCCTCCACAGTCTCCAGTTCTCAATCCAATAAAGCAATTGGTGCTATGTGGTGGAACAGGAGATTTGAATCATATATGTGCAGCTAACAAACTACTTGCGACTACAGGATAGAACAGGTGTTAAAATGACACCTAAAACAGTTTTTAAGCATTTAGTTATCCATTTGTAGGTATGTAAAAAAACTGCATACTTTTAAAATAAAGAAAAAATTAATGAACAACTTTTCGACTTCTCAAACACAATTTTTTCTTAAACTATTAAACCATCCTTGTTTGGAGCCCATGAGCTAGAAAATTGGTTAAAAACTTAACCGCACCACAAAAGATTTATCCTTGAAAGAGAAGGGCTGCATGTTTCGGGTGAATGCTTGAGGAAAACATGATCAAAAACAGTATTATATTCCATACAAAGTGGATTAAATGTGATTCTTTGTTGTACTGGCTAGCACAAGCTGAACCCTCTTTGCAGGGTGGCCTTTTGTTTTATCACCTGGAACATATCTTTTAATTTTGAAAAGGCAGCCAGGGCCAATCCATAATGCAACACCGGAGTGCTGAAGTCTATCTCTCTGCTACAATGAGAGAGCCATTTGTTGCTGCTGCTACTGCTGCTGAGCCTGCATTTGTTTCCCCATGTCTGAAGTTTCCACGTTTTCTCTGACATACTCACCTTGTATCCAGTCACCTCAGACTCATTCCCCATTGCCTTGACGTGTTCCCAATTTAGAAAGATCTTCGAGTTGGTCAGGTTCCACTCAATGCTGCCAGGAGGCTGCTTTGGAGCTGCAAGATAAGCAATTACACAATCACAAGTTTAATGTTCAGCATCAGAACTGCTGCCTCTTTCAATGCAAAAGGATTTAATGAAAATGTAGTTTTGAATGAAACAGGAGAACAGAACAGAATGAAAGCAAAAAATATCCAAAAGTAAGAGTATGCTTTTCCTACTACAAAAGGGCAGCTAAAAGGGCATTAAGCCTGTGAGTGGGGGGGACTAATTTTATCGAAAAAAGATAAAAAAAATTAATCAGGTTCCCATTACAAATCTTTTGCTAATGCATTTCAAATTTTATTGGAAGGCTCTTAGGTCATTCTCAGGTTTTAATTCAAATCATTTGACTTTATATCAACATATGAACATATTCTTGTATGGAACAATTTTTCTATATCTTTAGATGTTCTCCTCTACAAAATATGGATGTAAATTGATTAAAAAAATACTCCATTGTTCATCTGTAAACCTCCTCTGGAAAATACAAAACTAACTTAGTACAGTCAGAACAAAAGATTTACATGGAACATGACATTTTAAGATTGACATAGGATCTAACATATTAATTCATACGTTGAATTCTACGGTTTTCAGTAACATTGCAAAGGTACTTTGCAATGCAAAAAGAGCCTATGGCTCCCAGCCAATAAGTTCTGAAGTTCAGACCATCTAGATTATTTAACCAAAAGCTATCTTGCATACATTTTTGAGTCACCGGATGAGGAAATTAGCTTCTAGACCAGCTCCAGGGATGGGTCTTTGCTTGGTATTTGCTGTAAAACCTCATCCTAAAATATATACTTTTGAGATTTAAAGACGCCAACTTACACTGTAATTTAAACAAAGAATAAACATATAGAAAGAGAGAGAGAGAGAGACACAGACAGACAGACAGACAGACAGACAGACAGACAGACAGACAGACA